GTTCACTTCCATGCCAGCCTCGTTTACAGTGCACCAGAACGCGAGAGAAGTTCAGTTAAAAAAAAAAAAAAAAGGAAAAACGAAACGGTGAAATGCTCTTCAGCTTGAGCCACATCAGCACTGCCACCAACATCCGTCTGCAGTAACCCGTGTTCTGCGGCGGTCTGGGGGTCCAAAACGGCGCCCAGACAACACGGGCCAAACCCGGCCTGCGCCAGGCAGTGCGACCACGCACTGCCCCCTGGAAAATCAAGGGTCAAAGTCGACTGTCAGGTCAAAGGTACCGCGCCCAGCCCCTTGGTTGGATACACTCACTTGTTGTGCGCAGGTACCTAGACAGCATCAAGGCCACAGGTAATTCTGTTTCAGACCAATCGGGGCCGTCCTCTGTGTTACATGCCCAGTTGGGCGATGTACATATAAAACCAAGGATCCCCAATGTGATAAAAAGGACTGAATGGACAATGCGGTGCAAGTGAAATCTCAACAAGCAGTGTACATCCTGATACATACAACAATGGTGCTTTATAGCGCAGTGGAAGACTTAGATACAAGTCCTGACCTGACCGGGACTGACCTCTCTCGCGTAGCACAAGACAGCGGAGCAGAATGCTTGAATACCAATGACTAGCCCAAATTGTGTCGCATTACAGACCAAACATACATCATCTCCATCACAAGGTGTGGAGGCCTCGCGCCAGGCCCTGATCATGCACAGACGAAGAGGAGGGGAACAGACGAAGAAGAGGAGGGGGGAGCTGGGAAAGTCGTCAACACTAGTCTTCGTTACAAGTCCCAAATAATCCCTCGTCAAAATGTCTGAAGCCCAACATCGAGTCCAGATCCAAATGTCACCAAGCTCTCTCTCTCTCGTAGTCTGCTGATGCAGTGAAGTCAGATAGCGAGAGGGTAAGAGGGAGATGGTGGACTGAGAAGAGGTAGTAGAAGAACTCTCTCTCTCTCTCTCATGTGTCAGGTACTAACCTGTGAAGCTGGCGCTGTGCTGCAGGTACCTCGAAGACGAAGCTGGATCTATGGCGCTGCAGATAAGTCCCCCTGGCCTCCACCCAATCTCTCTCTCTAGTACTGCTCTAGCTCCTATGGCGCCCAGCGCTGAAGACTACTGCTAACGCTACTAGCACCCAGCGCTGAAGACTACTGCTAGCACTACAACTACTCCTGCAGCGCTCCTCTACAGTGCTGCTGCCGAATCCTGAACACTACCTCCTGCCTCCTGAACTTTACGTGAAGTGCCTGGGAATACCTAGAAACTACCTGCCGGCCTGCAGGGCGGGCCAGTCCTAAATAGTGCTGGCCCATCCAGGAGGCTTCTCTTGCCAATGCCGAAACATGCCAGACCCTGCCATTGAAGCTCAACCAGGGGTTGTCTTGAAAACAGGCCGAAAATAGCCTGTGCTAAAACCCTGGTTTGGTGCCTGAGTTTCAGGGCAGGTCGAATTCATGAGGGCCTGAAAATGGCCCTCAGTTTCAGGCTGAAAACACTCAGGCCAGAAAGGCCCTCATTTAGCCTGAAACGACACAGGGCCTGTAGGCCCTGGTTTTCAGGTTTTCAGGCTTTCAGGCTGAAACGACATGGGCCTGTAGGCCCTTGTTTTCAGGATTTTGGCCTTAAAATGTCATGGGCCTGAAAGTGGCCCATGCAGCCTGTTGCAGGCGCAGCATGTACCCCCCCCCCCCCNCCCCCCCCCCTCCTTATGAAGTCAAGCCGGGTCGAGGGCGAAGCTGACGATCTGAAGGTGGAACCTGGACGCGGGTGCGACGTGGAGCCGAAGGTACTGGCTTGCCTTGCATCTCGAGTTCGTAGCGTGCGAGAACATTCGGAGCTGTTGCTTGGAGTTCCACACGAGTCAATCAATGGTCAGCTTTGTGAGTGCGGTACGCAAAATGTACCAAGTACTTGGTTGGCCTGTTGCCGTAGCGTCGCTGGGGAATGATGTCGCCGACCTCCTGAACACCGTCCATAGAGGGTGGGTCTTGCGATCGTCGCCCGGGAAAATCGTCATGTTCCGCTGGCGTATAAAGAGCCAACCTAGAGCAATGAAAGACTGGGTAGACGGGCACGTGGGCGGGCACCTGAATGGTGAAGGAAGGTCCTTCGGTTGCATCCCCAGCGGGTGCCACGACCGGCCAGGGCCCCATCCATTTTGGGAGGAGCTTGTGAGAGATATCTTGTTCAAGGCTGAATTCCGCGGCGGAAACCCAAACGAGATCGCCGGCGCGGAAAGGGCAAGGAAGACGCTGGCGATTGGCTTGTTGGCTCATGCGTTGCTGCGTCTTAGCCATCCGGTCGCGTGCCTTGACAAGTAGCTCTTGCATCCGATGCAAGAAAAGAAGATGGTCGTCGCTCTCGGCCGTTCGTGGAATGATTGTGTCCAACGGAGAAGTGATCGGCGAGCCGTGCTCGAACTCGAAGGGTGACATCCCGATAGCCGGGTACGAGTTGTATGCCAACTCGACATCTGGCCCCCGCTCAACCCAATCCTTTTGGTCGGGACGGATGAGAGTGCGAAGGAGAACCTGTGCGGTCTGATGCGCCCTCTCCATTTGGCAATTGGTTTGGGGGTGGCGAGCCGAAATTGGCTTGAGAGATGAGCCCCATCGTTTGACGAGCGCCAACCAAAAGTCGGACATGAACCGACTGTCGCAGTCATAGACGATTTGCTTGGGGTTACCCTTAGTTCGAATCCAACTGGCGTAAAGAACGTCGGCCAACTCCGGTGCCTTGGCATGATAGCGGCAAGGCAAAAACCTGGCGAACTTGGTGAGTCAGTCGACCACCGTGAGAATCCCATCCACACCGGTCTTGTGTTTTGGGGAACGGCCCGGTAATGTCGGTGGCAATCGCGTCCCTTCGGCGCCAGAGGACCGGTAATGGTCGCAACTCGCCGTACGGACGATGGTTGCGGGATTTGCAGCGTCGACAAACCTTGCATGACTCGCAATAGCGCGTGACGTCGCCGAGAAGGCCGGGCCACCAAAATCGCTCGCGAAGTTGGCCAATCGTGCGATCGACTCCAAAGTGTCCGGTGGCGGGAGCATCGTGGAACTCGCCAAGAAGCCGTGTATGCAAGTGAGAGTCACTCGGTACGCAAATAAGGTACTTCCCCCTCGTGTGGATAAGCATATACCCCTCTTGGATCCGGTAGTGAGACGCCGAATTAGGAGAGGAGCAATTCGCAAACTTGTCGCGAAACTCGGGGTCGGCTTAGTAGCTGTGGATGAAGCTGTTTCGCAGGTCGTCGCCAATCTCGAAGGTCGAGTAGACTGCGGTACAATCATCCGGACGCCATGAAAGAGCATCCGCAAAACGGTTTGACTTCCTCGGAATGTAATCGGGAAAGAAGTCAAATTGGTCGATGAAAGTCATCCAACGGGCGATGGTGCTATTGACGGTGTCTTGGGTCTTGTAGAAGACCAACGGATTGTTGTCCATTACCCATCGGAATTGACCTCGACCAAGGAGGAAGTGCCGCCACCGCTTGAGCGCGTGGATGAAGGCGACGAGCTCCTTGCGTGCATCATCAATGGAGTGCACGACGGACACTAAATGTTGTGTAGTCGACCGGGTGCCAGTCCACGCCATCGTGTTGCTCAAGGACGACACCAATGCCATAACCGAACGCATCCGTAGAGACGCGCGTTGCCAATAGCGGGTCGTATATGCGCAAGACCTCCGCAGATAATAGCGCGGCTTTGAGAGCCAAAAATGATTCCCGCGCATACTCTCCGAAGTCAAACGACCGATCCTCACATTGAAGCTTGGTCAAGTGGGCTGCGAAACGTTGGTAGTAGCCGGCAAGGCCAAGGAACGAACGGACATCCGTGACGTTCTATGGTTTCGACCACTCTTGGATAGCTTGAATCTTGTCCGACGACGTACCGATGTGCAATCAGACTCGCTTTCATTCACACTTTACATGCATGTAAACAATAACGCAGCAAACTGGCGACATGCGCCCACTCAAAACTCAGAGATATGACAATCCAAACACGAGTTCACTTTCGATGGCTATGGCGACTCAACGCCCAAACAACTCTCTGTTCACATGCACCGGATCACCCTGGATATCCCACACGCGATACTCTGCACTCACACATACACACACACACCGCACAATAACTCTAGCTAGAGCGGCTATGGCCGCAACTACCCCATCGCTATGCTACGCTCCTTCTCTCTCGCCCACTTCAGCTTCGGGCTCACTGTCGACCTCCTTGCACAAGTTGTTGTGGCAGCGCTTCCGCATGGCTCACACAGGAATGAATGAATGGCTGGGCGCTGCCTCTTGATTTATACTTCTGAAACTCGTTGGTCTGGCCTCTTCCATCGGCCCATGGTGCTCACAATCCCTCGTGGTACTTGCTGGACCGAACTGGGACTAACTGGACCTGACCGCTGACTGAACGGGGACTCAATGCTATCCCACCGGGGTCGTACTGCAATCGCACTGCGGTTTAGTCCACCACTTGTCTCACCACTTGCCCACTTGCCGACCTTCTAGAAGGACTACAGCTAAGACTTCTGGAGCTCGCTAAGACTTCTATTCTACAGATCTACAGATCAACCCCCTGCTACCTACGGACCTATAACAGCCTACCATTTGCTTACTAGTACACAGGTCACGGGTTCAACTCTCAGGCCTACACGGGTGCTGTACACGGTGGGGGTAAGGACTAGGGATCGAACCCTGGGATCTGCATCTGCTACTGCAAAAGGTGAAAACCGTTTCACTCCCGCCGTCCTAAATTCGAGGTCCTCCGAGAATATTTCAGTCCAAGGCAGGACCTTTACCCTTTTTATCACGCTCGTAAGCTCTGACTATGTCGGGCGCTGTTTCTAGAAGTTTTGTCCTAGTAAACCAGCGGTCGTCTTCCGGTTCCTGATAAGCAACCTAGACTTTATATTGTTTATATGGACGACCTCTACCTCCAGTCCTAAACACATCTTCATCTACAATGCCCGCCGCCTCCTCCCTCACCACCTCCTTCCTCCCACTCTCCCACTCCTCCTTCCTCTCCTCCCCGTCCTCGCCCATCTCTTCTTCATCGTCCTCCTCCTCCTCCTCCCATCCTCCTCCTCCTCCCCGTCCTCCTCCTCCTCCTCTTCGTCCTCCTCCTCGCCATCCTCCTCCTCCTCCCTCTCCTCCTCCTCCCTCCTACTCTCCTCCTCCTCCTCCTCCCTCTCCTCCCCATCCTCGTCCGCCTCTTCTTTATCGCCCTCCCTGTCGTCATCCTCCTCCTCCTCCTCCTCCTCCTTACCATCCTTCCCTTCTACCTCCATGGCAGTGGCCTCTTCTCCTCCTTTCCCCCCTCCATCATAATCGCCTTCGTCTTCCCAGCAGGGATGCCTAACCATCTTGATCGTCTTCCACTCCCTCAACGCTCCATCCCTGGAGACTCTGTATGCGCCATTGATCGAGCGGCCATCCTTGTCATCATAGCGGGGAAACGCTCCGAGAGGAGCTTCCTGATGCCCAACCAACAAGAAGGGGAAGGAGGAGGAGGAGGAAGAGAAGGAAGACGAGGAGGAAAGGGCCGACGCCGACGAGGAGGGAGGAGAGCATGATGATGATGAGGAGGAGGAGGAGGAGGAAGAAGTAGAAGACGAGGAGGAGGAAGAGGAGGATGAGAAGGACGAAGAAGAGGCCAAGGAGGGAGGAGAGCACAATGACGATGAGGAGGAGGAAGACGAGGAGGAAGAGGAGGCGGAGGTGGAGTGGGGTTAAGGGGGAGGACAAACATCACTTGGAGGAGGAGAAGGAGGCTCCCGTCCATGACGTTCCACACCAAAGCAATCAATCAATCAATCAACAAAAAAAAAAAAAAAAAAAAAAAAAAAAAAAAAAAANAAAAAAAAAAAAAAAAATCAATCGAATCAGTCGATTCGATTGGATCTTGATATTGATCAAGATCCAATCGCTTTTTTTTTGTTGATTGATTGATTGATTGGGCTCGGGGGCTGGGCAACTGGTGAGGATGATCAAGGCGAAACTGCCTGCCTCTCGCTCCCCTCACTCGACGCCCTCCTCCTGTGACCCCCATTTCGCTTCCTCCTCCTTCCTACTCTCCTACTCCTCCTCCTCCTCCCTTTCCTCCCCGTCGTCGTTCGTCCCTTCTTCGCCATCCTCCCTTTCGTCATCCTCCTCCTCCTCCTCCCCCTCTTCTTCGTCCTGCTCCTTCTCGCCATCCTCCTCGTCCTCCCTCTCCACCTCCTCCCTCCTACTCTCCTACTCCTCCCTCCCCTCCCCATCCTCGTCCACCTCCTCCTCCTCCTCTTCTTCGTCCTGCTCCTTCTCGCCATCCTCCTCATCCTCCCTCTTCACCTCCTCCCTCCTACTCCCCCTCCCTCCCCTCCCCATCCTCGTCCACCTCTTCTTCGTCGTCTTCATTGTCGTCCTCCTCCTCCTCCTCCTCCTTACCATCCTTCCCGTCTACCTCCATGGCTGTCACCTCTTCTCCTCCTTCCCCCCCTCCATCATAATCGCCTTCGTCTTCCCAACGGGGATGCCTACCCATCTTGATCGTTTTCCACTCCCTCAGCGCTCCATCCTTGGAGACTGCGTATGTGTGTCGTTGATCGAGCGGCCATCCTTGTCATCATAGCGGAGAAATGCTCCGAGAGGAGCTTCCCAATGCCCAGCCAACAAAAAGGGGGAGGAGGACGAGGAGGAAGAGAAGGAAGACGAGGCGGAAAGGGCCTACGCCGACGAGGAGGGAGGAGAGCATGACGGCGATGAGGAGGAGGGGGAGGAGGAGGAGGAGGAGGAAGAAGAAAAAGAAGTAGAAGACGAGGAGGAGGAAGAGGAGGATGAAGAAGAGGACGAGGAGGGAGGAGAGCACGACGACGATGAGGAGGCGTAGGAGGAAGAGGAGGAAGACGAGGAGGAAAGGGCCGCAGCCATGACAAGGAGGGATGAGAGCACGACAACGATGAGGAGGAGGGGGAGGAGGAGGAGGAGGAGGAGGAGGAGGAGGAGGAGGAAGCGGAGGAAGACGAGGAGGAAGAGGAGGCGGAGGTGGAGTGGGGTTAAGGGGGAGGACGGGCATCACCTGGAGGAGGCTCCTGTGGATGGCGTTCAAGGGCGGCGACGATGGTGATGGCTCCGCACCAAAGCAGCAGGGAGGCGGGGCAGCTGGTCGTCGGCGTCGAAGCACACGGGGGCGAGCAGCGCATAGCGCGCCAATGGGGCAGCGGGCCGTTGGCAGGGAGGGACTGGGGGCATGCCACTACACTGCGGGCAGTCCGAAACCGGGACTGCGCGATTTCAAATTCAAAAAAAGACCCGATCTAGGCCGTGGATCATCGTCAATCAACGACCTAGATCAAGCCTTTTCTTTTTCAAAATCCGTAGGCCGCCTTCACATTCTGAAAGCGGGAGGGTGTTCTGGCTGCCACCCTCCACCGCGCCACACCCCCAAACGCCATTTCCGAGCCTTGCGCATATTTTGCGCAGGCCCTTGAAAATGAATTTCCGATTATATCTACGGCCCTTTTTCCAGCCGGACTAACCGGATTATTCGAGGCTTTCCGGATATCCTAAAATAATACTTAGAAAACAGCTGCTCGTTTATGATGGGCGCCTGCTTCCATTCCATTGGGGGGACTAAGATCCCCATTTCCTCTAGTTGTGCCATCTAGCGCTGTAACTTCGTTTTTTTTTTGTTTTTCTTTTTCTTTTTTTATGTTGTTGACATAAGGCCAACGGTAGCCCATGGCTTGCTGTTCTACAGACCCGGAGTTCGATTCCAAAGGGAATCAAACCCCAAAACAAAATTCGGCCATTTCTCGATTTGTGTCATCCTTGCGCAAACGCCATCCCAATCGTCACACGACTAATTTCGGTCGCACGATCCGAAGATCGTGCGGCCGAAATCAACCGCGCCTGGGTGCTTTAGCCCACGGGCCGCTCCAAAAGGAGCTAGCTCAATAGGTCCGGCTCTGATCCCCGTATCTGTGGCATATCAGACTAGCATTTTACCTACTAGGGGGATAGTAGGAGCAGCTCTTCTATAAGAAGAGCCACACCCCAACCATCCTACCTGCCTATGGCAAATAGCAGGCCCTACTGGCCTCCTTCTACCATAGGACCAGCTTCCCCCTGTTTTCCCGTAGCCGCACACCTGGCGCAGCAGTCCTTATTAGCCATTTAGGCTCTGAATCGGGCGGCTTAACAGTCGCGCGTCATTATTTTAAGTACGATAGAAGTTAAACCTTTGTAAGTGTGTCTCTTAAGTCGTTCTACGAGCTCCTTGATAGGGGCACAGCGGAGAATGAGTCTCGGGTATATCGTTCTTCGGTATACTTTTCTGTGCGCTTCATGCCTAACCCAAGAGAGTTGATTTTGTGCCTTCCGTTTCACGTCATGAATTTGGGTACTACGGAGAGAGATCCCATTATGACTTCTTGTGCTTCACAGAGTGAATCGGTCCCTAAGGAAACCCCAAAAGGCGGCGCCGATGGGTACTAGAAAGTGACGAAATTTGAAGTAAGCTAGCGCTATTGAACAGAATAAAATTGGATGATTGGATAGGGCCTCCATTTTCGGGAAAAAACTTAGTATTCCGACGCCCGTATGCCCCTGCGTCCTTGCCAGACGCGGTTTGGTGATCGATCGCACAGCATGCCGCAGGCGTTTGGACATTAGCAAAAAAAATTCTCTCTCAGTCTTAGGTTTGGTCTGAATGGGATTTGGCAGGAACCCCAATCTCATAAAGTCAGGTCATTCAAACGAAACTTTATCATCAGTAAGACAATGGCCGACATAAAAAATCCCGGGCCGATACCCTTGTCAGGGTCTCTGCCCCGACATCGCGATTCGTCGGCCACTTCAGAGTCAAACGTACGATCGCAAGACTTCGGCAACGATTCCGGTGGCCCGATCTAATTACTGATGTCACTTTGCGACTCTTGCGAAGTTTGGTGACGAAGCACACCCCGCAATCGCAACCCCTACAACGAGTTACGCCCGTTGCCTATCCTATGGTAACCCAACCTCTCCATCGCTATGGACTTCACCTGGTCGTTCCCCCTTGACCGCTTAGGGCACGACGACATTCTCACGGTCGTCTACCATTTGAGCAAGTACATGTGATTTCTTCCCTACAAGTATTACGCCACGACTCCCGAGATGGGACAACTCTTGCACACCGGCTGGATTTGCCGCCAAGACGTTCCGAAAGACATTGTCAACAACCGCGACACTCGTTTATGTCGACATTTTGGACTTCTCTCATGAAGGAGTCCGACACTGAAATGAAACCGAGTTTGGCTTGGAATCCACAAACAGACGGGCAAACGGAGCGAGCACATCAAACCGCTCAAATGATGCTTTGTACGCTCATCCGTACGGATCAGAAGGATTGGGTTGACCGCCTACCCGACATCGAGTTCGCCTACAACACACTTCGTTGCATCCGGCGATCGGTGCGACTCCATTCGAGTTGCACCACCGTGGCCGGAAAGGCTGTACCTTCGCTGATCTTCCATTCCCACAGACTGCCGACATTGACGCCGCTTGTTCTCCCGCCGCCCTTCGAAAGTATCGAGACTTGCTCGCTAAAGCTCGTGCCAATATGAAAAGTCTACATTCAACAGCAAGCCAATCAATGTCGTGTGCCATGCCCTATCTGCGCCGGCGACCTTGTTCGGGTCTCCACGGAGGAGTTCGCACTCGAACAAGACGTCTCGCGCAAGCTTACTTCCTAAGTGGTTTGGACCATGGACCGTCACATCAGCCGTGGGCGATGAGCCCGATGGCCCTTCCTTTGTGATCGAAATCCCACGGCATCTACCCGGTTTTTCACGCCTCCAAGCTGGCTACGTATACACCAGCCAAGTGCGACGACTTCCCGGGCCGACGATTGCAGGACCCTCCTTCTATGGATGGTCATCGGGAAGTCGATCACATTATCATGCATCGCAAGCACGACAACAAGCCAATGTAGTACAAGGTCACATTCAAGTGGTGCGACCTCGACGACACAAGATGGATTTCACGAGCAGCCTTGCAAGCCTCTGCACCACCCATCTACGCCGAATATGAGAAGCAATGACTAGACACGGAAGCTGCAAAGCCTGCCCCTACCACCCGGACTTCGGTCCCTCCCTCCAACAGACAGCTTCGCCCTCGCAAGTAGGCTCGGTCTTTCAAGGAGGGGTTGGTGTTGCATACTCAGTTCCACACGGGCCCACCGGGGCCCGACTAGGTAGGCTAGGGGTTAGTAGAGTGCAGGGTCTGTGTCGATTCGGCCCACAGTAGGGGCCCTTATGGTCGGTAGGCTAGTTTAGGCCTGAGTAGGACCAGTACCAGTTAGAGGCCATGTGGGCCTCGTTTCCGCTACAGGCCCTGGCGCGCGTTTTGGCTCCAGACCCTGATTCAGAGGCCATGCCGTTTCAGTAGGCGTTTGGCCGATTGAGCCTCAGCCTCAGTTTGGGCGCCAACTTTCGCGGCCCAGCCTCACTTTGGACGCCAGACTCAGCCACCGAGGCCGACCCGGCGCTATATATACCTGGGTCCAGCCTCAGTCCGACATTAAGTAGAGGATGGTGTGGGGCATTCTTCATGACGACATCGGTACAGTAGTAGTAACGATAGTAGTCTTCCAGCGCTGGGCGCTGATAGGACTTAAGAGTAGCGCAGGGAGAGGAGAGAGAGATTGTGGCAGAGGCCAGGGAACTTACTTGAGACTTACCTGTGACGTCATCGCTCCAGCTTCGTCTTCAGCACGTCCATACCTTTCTCAGGTCAATACCTGGTGTGTGTGTATATATATTGTCACATCACTACAAACTAAAAGAGCGCACTTTGCGAAACAAAGAATAAAAGCAAAAAACGGGCACAGTGATAACATGCAAAAATAAAAAGAAAAAGAAAAACAAAAAGAAAAAACAAGGGCAGATTGAAACCATTAAATTTCTCATTCTTCAAAAAACAAGGGCAGATTGAAACCATTAAATTTCTCATTCTTCTTTGAACTCCACCTCCACTGTGCCTCTCACGTGCAAGGCTCGCCACGTTGAT